AAAACCAGATAAAGACAGTACAAAAAAAAAAAGAAAATTAGAGGCTAATGCCCTTGATAAACATAGATGCTAAAATCCTCAACAAAGTATTAGCAAACTGAATGCAACAGTGCATCAAAAATACCATACACCATGATCGATAGGATTTATTCTGGGAATGCAAGGTTGGTACGACATTCACAAATCAATAAATGTGATTCATCACAAATACAAAATGAAGGATAAAAAGCACATAATCATATCAACAGATACAGAAAAAGCTTTTGATAAAATTAGCACTCATTTATGATCAAAACTCTCAGCAAAGTGGGAATACAGGGAACATACCTACACACAATAAAGACTATATATGACAGACCCACTGCAAGCGTCATACTCAGTGGACAAACACTACAAGTGTTCCTCTTAAGATTAGGAACAATACAGGGATGTCTGCTTTCACATCTCTTATTCAAGATAGTATTGGAGGTCCTAGCCACAACAATCGGACAAGAAGAAGAAATAAAAGGCATCCATATTGGAAAGGAAGAAGTAAAAATGTCTTTATTTGCAGATGACATGATACTGTACTTAGAGAACCCCAAAGATTCCACCAAGAAAATACTAGAACTGATCAATGAATTCAGCAAAGTAGCAGGATATCAGTTGCATTTTTATATTCCAATTATGAACTAAAAGAAAAGGAAATTTAGAAAACAATCTCATTCACAATTGCTTCCAAAAGAATAAAATACCTAGGAATAAATCTAACCACAGATGTAAAAGACATGTACTCAGAAAACTGTAAGATACTAAAGAACAAAACTGAAGAAGATGTAAGTAAGTAGAAGCACATACCATGTTCATGGATAGGAACAATTAACATCATTAAAATATCTGTACTGCCCAAAGCAAACTGTAGATTCAACACAATTCCTATCAAGGTTCCAATGACGTATTTCACAGAACTAGAACCAAAATTTATATGGAACCACAAAAGGCCATGCATAGCAACAGCAGTTCTGAGAAAGAACAACAAATATAGAGGAATCATGCTACCTAATATGAAAGTATACTATAAAGCCATAGTAATCAAAAGAGCATGGTACTGGCATAAAAACACACACACAGATCAACGGAAGAACAGAGAGCCCAGAAATAAACCCACACCTTTATAGTCATATAATATTTGATAGAGGAAGCAAGCACATACAATGGCCTACAAATAGTTTATTCAATAAATGGTGTTGGGAAGATTGGACAAATACATGCAGAAAAATGAAACCAGACCACCTCCTTATACCACACACAAGAATAAATTCAAAGTGGATCAGACTTAAATATTAGACTCAAAACCATAAAAAACCTAGAAGAAAACATAGGCAACAACAATTTTTTATCAGATATATCTCCCCAGGCAAAGAAATAAACGACAAATAAACAAATGGGACTTTGTCAAACTAAAAAGGTTTTGCACAGCAAAGGAAACCATCAACAAAATGAAAAGACAGCCCACAGAATGGGAGGACATAATCACTGATATATCTGATAAAGGGTTAATACCCAAAATTTATAAAAAACTTAATAGATGTCAACAGCAAAAACCAAAAATCCAATTAAAAAAAAATCGGCAAAGGACCTGAATAGACACTTTTCCAAAGAGGACATACAGATGGGCAATAGACTTATGAAAAGATGCTCAGTGTTACTAATCATCAAAAACGCAAATTAAAACCACAACCAGATACCATCTCACACCTGTCAGAATGGCTGTCATCAATAAATCAAGAAACAGCAGGTGCTGGTGAAGATGTGGAGAAAGGGGAACCCCCCTTGCACTGTTGGTGGGAATGTAAACTGGTGCAAGCACCATGGAAGGCACTATGGAGATACCTCAAACAATTAAAAATGAATCTATCTGCCTTTTCACCCAGCAGTCCCACTTCTGGGAGTATATCTGAAGGAACCCAAAACACTAATTCAAAAGAATACAAGCACTCCTATGTTCAGTGCAGCATTATTTACAGTCGCCTAAGACATGGAACCAGCCCCAGTGTCCATCAACAGATGAGTGAGTAAAACAACCATGGGATGTTTGCACAATGGAATACAACTCGGCCATAAAAAAGAAGAAAATTTTACTCTTTGCAACTATATAGATTGACCTGAAGAACATTATGCCAAGTGAAATAAACCAGTCAGAGAAAGACAAATACTATATGATTTTCCTCTTATGTGGAATCTAATGGAAAAACTGAACTAACAAACAAAACAGAAACAGACTCATAGATGGAGAGGAGGTGACAGCTAGTTGGGGTCGGGGAAGCTTAGGGAGTGGAGGGATCGAGCACAAAGGAAAAAGGATTCATGGAAAACAGTGTGGTGACTGCTGGGGGGAATATAAGGGGACTAAATGATAATGGGGAAAATACAATGAGATTAAATGAAAAATAATTTTTTAAATGAAACATTTTTTATTGAACTTGATTAGAAAACTCAATTGTCAGAAATGAAAATTACAGAAGTTTGAATTTCTAAGTATAGTATTTTTAGTTGATTATTAAAATAGGCTGTCAAGACTGTAACTGCTTGGTTTTGTTTCTCCTTGACTCAGACAAAAGTAGAAGAAATCCAGACAAAATGCACTGTGGTATAAATAAATAAAATCTTTTAAAAAAAGAATAAAGTACTTAGATGTGTAACACATTGAAAGCTACAAAACATTGTTTAAAGAAAGATGATCAAAAACCTCCCAGGTTCATGGTTCAGAAGACTTAATGTTGTTAGGGTGGACACACTATTTCTTTTCTAGATATTGACAAATGAACCTAAATTTAATTTGGAATTGTGAGGCATTTGGAAGAGCCAAGATACTTCTTAACTTCACAACTGGCTATAAAAATGGAAATAAGATAATGTGGTAGATAGACAGAGGTCAATGGGATAGAATTGAGGGTCCAGAAATAAAACAGTATATTCACTGGTCAACAGATTTTTCGACAAGGATGCCAAGACTTACTCAATGAAAAAAGAATTGTCTTTTCAAAAAAGGATGATGAGAAAACTGGGTATGCATATTCCAAATAATGAAATTGGGCCCTTGTAAATTAACTCAAAATGGATCAAAGACTTAAACATAAGAACTAAATCTGTAAATATTTTCAAAGGAAATATAGGTGTCAATCTTACCTCAGATTTGGCAGTGGACCCTTTGATATGATACCCAAAACCTCAAGCAGCAAAAGACAGATAATTGGATTGAATCAGAATTTAAAACTTGTGCTTCCAAGGACACTGATAAGAAAGTAAAAAAAACATCCAATAGAATGAAAGAAAAGATCAAATCACATATCTGAACTTTTACCTAAAGCATATAAAAAACTTACAACTCAGAAGACAATTTAAAAATAGGCAAATTATTTGAATAGATGTTTCCATATAGAAGGTATACAAATGGCCAGTAAGCACATGAAAAAATGCTTGTGTTCGTCATCAGGCAAATACAGAACAAAACCACGACGAGAGAGATACCACTTCACATCCTTAAGATGGCTTTGATTGAAGACAAATAAGTATTAGTAGAGTGTGTTAGTATTAATGAGGATGTTAGTCTGACAATTCCTCAAAAAGGTTAAGTATATAGTTATCCTATGACCCAGCAATAACACTCCTAAGTATATGTCTAAAAGAAATAAACACATCCACACAAAAGCCTGTATATGACTGTTTATAACAGGATTATTTATAATAGCCAAAAAGTAGAAACACCTCAAATGTACATTAACTGACAAAATGTGGTAGAGCTGTATAATGGAATGTTATTCAACCTTAAAAAGGACTGAAATACTGATCCATGCTACAACATGGATAAGCCTCGCAAACATTATTTCAGGTGAAAAAATACAGATAAAAAGGACTATATTATGTGACTTCATTTACATGAAATTTCCGGGTTTCTAGAAAATATAGAGAAAAAGTAGGTTAGTGATTGCTTAGTGATAGGGGGAATGCAATCACTATAGGGGAAGAGTGATAGATAGCTAAAGGATATGGAATTTATCTTTGAAGTGATAAAAATTTCCCAAAATGATGATGATTGCTAAATATCTGTGGATATAAAAGCCATTGACTTGTATACTTTAGACAGGCGCATAGTTTGCCCTGAGAAGGCAGAGCGTGTGGTTGCCAGTACTGGTAGGTAGGTGGTAGGTAGAGCAAGGGCAGTTTAGAGAACTTCTAATGTTTTTCCTCCTCCCATCAAGCATGTGAATTGGACACTATTGTTATTACCATTTAAAGAGGAGGAAACAAGTGATTTAAATGGTTGTCAGTTTTACGTAGGAATGTCAACAAAGTAGAAATAACCTACCTTGGGGAGGTCAGTGCTATTGCTGGCATTTCTGATTGGGAACTGCAAAATTGCACTTCTGTTTTCTCTATCTGAGAAAACTAAGATATAATCTGAGGCTTCTCTCTCCACTGGGAAAAATGGGGCGGAGGCAAATATTTTTCTATTTTTAAATCACTTTTTTCTTCCTAGAATATCCTCAGAACAGGCCAGGAAACTATCCAAGGCTGTTAGGCCAACGGTGATCCTGAAAGTGCTGTCCTGGTTGTGACAGTCAGTAGTTTAGGGGAAATGAAATGCCTGTGTTATCCTTTTCTTCATGATGTTTAGGAATCGGAAATAAAATCCTTTCTTTGTTATAGACTACAGCTACCCTGCTGTTACTAGTTGTGGTCTGTCTCTAATCACTAAATCCATAATTTTGGCTGAGGGGGTCCTAGCCCTAATGGAGGCTTGTGCCCAGTATGTTTTGAAGGAAAATCTCACCGGGTTTTATATAAGCCTAAAGTAGGCTGAGCACTAGTTATATGAGTAACAATTCAGGGTGACACTTCTTCTGACTCAATTTGCTTATTCCACAGATGGGAGGAGGGTGTAATTGTTTAGAAACACACAGTACTGTTTTATGGAACATTGTGAATTTAAAATATATTTATATTAATATTGTCTGTAGGTCCTTTCCAGTCTCAGAAAAAGAACTTATTCCACAAAATTGTCAGCAAATATAAGCACAAAAAGGAGAAGCCTAATGTTCCAGAAAAAGGTATTGGTGCCTTCCATCCTCCATTAAGGTTTCTTGGCCACCTCCATTGTGAAGTCACCTTTGAGTAATGCTTCTGCGCACCAGCTGTGCCTTTTCCTCCCCTTTGCTTGCTTCAATGTCATCAGCTCCTGATGCGGGCGTGTTTGTTATTTCTAGATTCTGCAGCTAATTGCAAAGAGAGATCTCCTTGGATTTCTGCTCAAATTCCGTATTTGTCTCTCTTTTCAGAGTTCCATATGAAACCTAAAATTGCTTTTTCTCATCTCTATTTTGGTGCATTTTGTAATTTAGTTTTCTTGAGCTCTTTTATCCACTTATTTCTTTGACTATTCTCTTTTTCTCATGTTTGGCCGCCTTCCTACTGGGACCACGTTTTGCTACCTCCTGAAACCTACCAGTTTCATAATCACGGGAGTCCCACGATTTCTTTACTTTCTCTGACACTTGAGGATTCTTGTCAAGGAGGATTCACTCCTAAGTCATAACCTCCTTTTTCCCCAACTATATACTTCATCATTTGCCATATTCTTCTTTGTACCTCCTTCAGTCACATAACTCTTACTTCCAAAGAGCACTAGAGATGTATTGCCCTTTCCCCTCCCTTTACTCTGAACATCTGTGTCATTGTTAAAATCCTGATGGGCCCTTCAACCCTCATCGAGGCTCATCTGAAGGTTTTTTTCCTTCTCATAGTTCAGGATGCCCATTCTTCTTTCACAAGAAAGATAAATCTCCCCATTTTGTTCAGTATAGCCCCGTGTCCTGGGAGTCAGGCTTTCTTTAGCATCTCCCACATCTCAGTGTCGTGACCACCATGAGCCTCTTATTTTGCGCCCATTTGCATCCTACTTGCATGGCCAGATGTGAAATGAAGCCCTTCATGCTTCTAGGATGAGGCTTAAAATGCAGCTGTCTCCCATGTGTAGACATAAGTGCCTGTGTATTCCTATATGTAACCTGTTAGTTAATTTGGGTTTTGTTTACACTGCCACGTCAACCTCTTAATTTGGCTCTGTATACTAATGTTTTTTTTTTCTCTGCCTCCAGTGCAGAAACATTACTGTTTAGGTAAAATGTGAGCTTGTATCATTCCCTTTTAACTCATATTCAAAATTTTTTGATTAAAGCCATAGAATTTATCCAACAATGTATTATATAAAAGGTAAATTTATTTTCAGTCCATTTTCTGTGTCGCCTAGTATTTCAGTTGGCAAATGCAGTTTTGAGAATTAAATAGTTGAAATGAAATTCTGCTTTATTTGTGTGACAATGCTTTTTATTTAAGTTGTTTTGTACATTGTCTTATTTTTACAGTGTGTATATCTGTACTAGAAGTAGAGTTTCACTTTCCTCTTCTGTCATTGTTTTCAGGAAGCGGGGATAAATGGTCAAACAAGCAATTCTTCTTGGATGCCATTCACCCTGCAGAAGGTAAAAAAAAAAAAAAAAAGCAATATTCATTGTATCGTTTCTGGTCATCTGTGCTGGAAATGGCACAATTTTAATAGGTTTTAAAAGGTGTAATTTATATGGGCTTTACCAACAGCATTAGACCTGAGTGTTCATAATTGGGTTATTTTAAATTTTCAAATCAAAAGTGACATATTTTTGACCCTGTTCGGGGTCAGGCAGTGTGTCATATGGAGTTTAATTTGTCAAAGGGGGATTTGTAACCTTTGAGCCACATTAACCAGATTTTTCATAACTAAAAATACTTAGCTTTGCAGTTGGCGTTGCAGGCAGATGCTTAGGAGAGTTAGAATAGGGCCAGCCTGGGGCTGTACTGGTGTGCTGAGCATGGGCAGGCCTGCAGATATGGCTGCTGGCCTGCACTTCGTTTTCTAGCCAACCTCCCAGTACCTGCAAACATGTGTAAGTGGAATATCCCAATGGAACAGAGGCTTAGGTGTAGCCAGAAAAGGGCCCATATAAGACCAGTATAATGTTACAGGTCCTAGGTGTTGATTTTATTTCAGAATTTCTCATAATTGTGTTTATTTGTGATGTTATCTAATTTCTATTAAATATTGAACCTCAGGTGAATGTTCATTTCTGTGATGGTTAAGGGGCCCTCCTTACCTTCTTCCCCTTGATTCCCTGTTTTCCATTGTAGATAGGTTGAAAGAGCTGACCGTTTTTGTAGTGCTTAATTAGGAGTTGATTAATTTGAAAAGTAGAAGGGATCTTCAGGGGCATCCAGTTCAGCCTCTTTGATTTACTTATGGCCAGAAAGGGGAACTTAATGAATAGCCCACGTCTCTGGACTCCCAAATACACTCTCATTCCTTTACTAAAGAGGAGAAAAAAACTAAAATGCACATTCTCCCTAAACCATTTACCAAAAATGCTCATGTTTTAAAGATATCTATAAAAAGTATTCAGATTTGAGTTCATTATAAATGTGGAGAACAGTTTTGTTTGGTAGGTGCGTCCCCGTGAGCCACATGCCCGCCTTTACACCGTTACTTTTACAGAAAAGACCAGCAGAGTCTCTGTTTTCTGACCTGTTAACTCACGTCACAACCGCTGTGGAGTGTTATTTCTGCACTTATCTGGCAAAACAAAGTATGAATTGCTGCTCTCCTCTCGGCGTTAAATTCTGACATCCTAAAATTGATACATCTTAGTTCTTGCATATTTTAAAAAATATATTTACACAGATTTAATAAATGTGAGGCATTGGTAAACTATAAGAGGAATCTAAAGGAAGCATTTAAGGCCACGGCACTTTTTTTTTGAAATGATAACTGCTCTAATATTTCATTTTTTAAACAGTGAAAACCCTGACTCATATAAAATGAGTTATCATAGCATGGCAGTGTGGTAGGAAGGATGAATTAGGTAGGGTTAGGAAACCTAGGTACAAGTCTCAGATTAGTCACCACCGAGCTTTCTTCAGCAGGACAGATTGTTTTACCTCAGTCAGTTTCACTGTCCATGTTGGTACTAAGTGTGTATATGATACGTTTACTCCAGGTGGGGTAAGTGATGAGGTGTGATAATACATGAACCATAAACTTCGTTTCCCCTCTAACACTTGATGATTTTATTATTGGGATATCTTGAGTGGGTGGTGTGATGCTGAAAGCAGGTTAATTCTGAAGCTCTGATTTTCTGCCCTTTTGGGAATAGAAAAGTAAATCAAGTTTGAGTCTTCTGGGCAATCCCAAAGGTTTAGTTGGAAATAGAGTTATTATTGGTGATATTTAATTATACTTCTGACTAATGTATATGGAACAAAACTTAGGAGAATATGCACTGAAAATTACCTGTTCTTTAGTGTAAAGTGCACATTCTTTTTATAGGGCCAGTTTGAAAAAAAGGAATTGGTTCGAGCATTGGAAATTACCAGTAATGTAACTTGACCTCTTCTTGTTGCTTATTTTCACACCATCCCCTACATTCACCTGTTTGGGTGGTAAACTATGTATTTTGTGAATTAACTTTTTACTTCAGCCTGTCTCTCACCTATGGCCACGTCACTATTTATTAGAACTTTAATTATGAGAGTATAAAAATTTAAGAGAATGAAACTGTAATCAGGATAACTGTAACATGTGTGAGCATCCCTGGACAGAGGTTAGATAGGTGCTGTTGGTAGTTGATGTGCTAATAGAAATGTTGATTCAATGGAAGCTATTCAGCTGTTAGCTGTTCCCAACTTCTGTTAAAGTGGAAGACTTAAAGTTCACTGTTCTCCCTTTGCATCATCCCGAGTATAATTGGATTGCAATTTGTATTTTTTTTTCAAAATAGCAGAAATCTTTAGGTGCTTAGTAATTACATCTGAAGTTTAAATGCTAAATGTATAATCTCTTTTAAGCATTTTCCCCCATGCTTTTAAAATTCAAAATCATTAAACTATTTCTTGAAAGTTAGCAGATCACAAAAAAAGATTGCTTATAGTTTAGAAGTAAGGGTAAAATGTTCAGATAAACCAAGACAACCTACCTCTGTCGTCACTTCGTTTATCTTTCCACCAATTGACAGCGTCATGTTCATGCTGAAGCTATTAAGGTGTCTAGGGGTAATAAAAATGATGGTGGTAATTAATACTTAATATTACATTACACTTTCCAGAGGACTTTTACATATATGTTTTACTGAAAACGAATCTTGACAGCAACGAATTAAGGAAGGCTCAATACATGATAAGAAATTGAAGACTGACCAACATAAGCAGGAAGGGAAGAAACCAGTAGTCTTTCCACTAAAGCACATTGGCTGCTACAATTTGAATTTTTTAGGCATATCTGTAGATGTCCCTCATTTGGCTCTGATGCTGAAATTATAAATGGTATCCTATAAGGAAAGAAAATCAAAAACCTCAAACTAGGGATCTCCATAAGATTAGTTTCTTTGCAACACATCTAATTACAGAGGAGATAAATCTGGTTTATAGTTAGATTTTCAAACACGAGCCATAGCACTCAGGCTTACTTGATCTTTTTAGTTCAGAATAGTTGCTATAAACTTCAGGAAGGTCTCCTGGGATCTTAGATTAGGCTCATTCATTTGATTCTTTTTCCTGTGTTCCAGTCAGCTTCTGACTGCATTTTCAGCTCACAGGAGAACAACCGAAGGCAATGAGATTCCGGATTTGGCTATAATAATTTCAGTGCAAGTTGATTCCCCTAGTTGGAATGTGAATTCATGACTCTGTAGCACTCTAGTGGTCTCCTGGGGTACAATACCAAAAACTTACTCCACATTTTGGGAGTAGAGTTTGGAAAACAAGAGCCTGTTACTGCCACATTCCTAATGTTGCTCCAGGAGTGAGCTCACATTATCACTCTCCAGTGATACACTCCAAGTGTGTTATGATTATTGTGGAGTGTAAAAGCCAGCCCTGTGGACTTGTTTTGCAGTGCTTGGGTGGGTTTGTGTGTTCACTTACAAGCCAAAAGAGAAATAACTTAATTTGTTTTTAGACTACAAAAACCTTTTTCTCACATTTACATTAGTTTGTCAGGGAGAAAAAAGTAACCTGCTTGCTGCCTTGATACTCAGCTTCATGCTTTTTCCTGTCTCTAAGCTTTTTCTTTTTCCACCAAACCTTTGCTAATGTTGCTAGAGTCAGATCTACTGTCCTGTCCCAGACAACCGCTTCTTTAACTTAGCCTTACCTATCTTTCTGTCTTGGGGAAGAGGGCTCTCCCTGAGTACTGACCCTGAAGGCTGTCATTGCTCTAGGCCACCAGTCAATTATCGAATGTTCTGGGGTTAACTCCTGGGTCAAAGCATGGGGTAGTGGTCACTCTTAACTCCTCTTTGAAAGTCTAGCAAGATCGTATTTAAGCATCCTTTTCAATCCGCAGGGTCCACAGTTACTTCTTGATCTGACAGTAGGTTTAGAGGAGACGGCATCTGGAGAGGTAGCATTGCCTCCTTTTCAGTGATTTGTGAGAACTTGCTTTATTCTCTTTTTTTTGCCTCTTAGTCTGCAACCTGATTCACTCCTTTACTGTTTCACTCCAACCTGCGCCATCCTCTGGGACTTGCTGATCTCTGGCATCTGTTAGTCGGCCTGCCTTTCACCCTTTGGCTCCTTGCATGCTGATTTCTGAGCTCCCTCTAGTCCTGATGTGCTTTTAGGCCTAAACTCTACCTCCTATTTGCAGTCCCTTTGTAGCCATCCCTTGGCTTTTCTATTGCATGTTTACCAGTTAATCAGGAAGACACAGGAAAAGGAGTAAGCATTGAATAGAAATGAAACCATCTGAAGGCTTACCAAAAACAAAAAAATCTTAACAGTCCTAGTCAAGGGACTAGTCTTTTTAATTTTTTTCCAGTTAGAGGTGACATTCAATATTACTGTTTTTCATGCTAGTTTCAGGTGTACAGCATAGTGGTTAGACAGCCATATACTTTATCAGGGGAATACTCTTTCCTAGCCTTGAGCCTCTGGAGCAGGCTGGAGATTTGTTTTTCCCTAGTCAGAACTCTGAATCTAGGTTATGTGGTGAAATGTGAAGAACTTTATTTTAGGGCTGGGGGGCTCCTTTAGACCTATCTAGCCCAGACTCCATCTTTATGGGAAAAAAACAAGATCCATGGTCTCACAATTAGTGAATTTACAAGTCATACATAGAATCAAGGATTCTCTATGACTGTGACCTTTCGTTCCATGACCTTTCTGTCCATGCCTTCTCTTTGACCTCCTTGGTTCTTTCTTTGATTAAGCACCCCTCCTCTTTGGAACTTGTTATACCCCTATTTCCACAAGTTCTGGGTTTTTCTGGGAAGAGGAAGAGAAGAGGGGAAAGGTCAATGCTTTTTCTGGAAGGTACATCTATAATGTAGTGATCATGCTGGAGAGGTGAATAAGATACCCCTGTAATCAGAAGGGACAGCTCATGAGTCTGGATCAGAAACTAGAAATTTTGAAGCTTGCTTGTGAATATCCAGTAGAGGTTATGTGATTCTCATTGAGAACTCTGATTTGGGCTTGAACCTAAGGAGGCTTTGAATTTCAAGGCTAATGCAGAGTCATGAAACGTCTGGAGTCATGAAACGTTGGAGTGTTTCTAACCAAATTATCTTTTATTTTGCTTCTATGTAGCATTTATTTAAGTTCAAACTGAAAAATATAAATATATTACCACTGACCTGTGTTATGCTAAATATCAAAGTATAAATATGCTAAGACTGTTTGACCTGGGGATAGGTCGACAACTTAAAAGGGGCCTTTTTTCCAATCGTTGATTATTTGCTTAAAAAGGTGTTTGGGAGCCTTGCCAAATAGTGCATTTTTAAAAATAAATAAACGATCATCTTAAGCCTATTCCCACACAGCCATCTATTAGGCAACACTGAGGTAAGGCCAGGCCCCAAATTATGTTATGATTTATGCTTTACATTCTTTGTTTTGATATAACTGAAATTATTTCCCACCTGTTTAGGAATGGGAAGCCTGGAATCAACCCCTCAAGGGCAAAGATTTTACAAATTCATGGCCCTCCTTTCTCAAGGATGTATCTTACTAAACCCATTAGAGAGCTAAAGTAAAAAATTTACATGAGGCCTATGCAAGTATTTATATGAACAGTGCATTTTTTCACATGCTTATTCTCCCTGTTCCTATTACAGCTTTTTTTCTTGCCATGTTATATATACTCTTATTTCCAATGTCTACCCTCACATCCTCTTCTGAGAAGCACCTTCAGTTACCCCAAGTTTAGTTTGCATGGAATTTGTCATGTCAAACCTTGATTTCCTGAGCCACACTCCCCTCTTTGTCACAATTTCTGTGCCCGTCTTAAGAGACTGGATAGTTAGCCCTGGCTGGTGTGGCTCAGTGGACTGACCACCAGCCTGCAAACCAAAGGGTCACTGGTTCGATTCCCAGTCAGGGCACATGCCTGGGTTGCAGACCAGGCCCCCAGTAGGAGGAAGGCAAGAGGCCACCACACTTTGGGGTTTCTCCCTCTCTCTAAAAATAAATAAATAAATAAATAAATAAAATCTCTAAAAAAGAGAGATTGAATAGTTAAACAATAGAAAGATGCATCACTTCCCTGCCCAAGAGACCTGCAGCCACTGGAATAAAAAAGTCCTAGTCATGAAACCTGACTACATGTATGTACTCCTAAATGCTTCATATATGAATATCTGTACATTCTTGTTTTGAAAAAGGGAGAGGGATGAGCTCCTATGGAAATGAGTGCATAAGACACAAGCACTTCCAAACTCTTTGAACCAGGAGCAAGTCTTTGGTGGCAAATGTGTCCCTTACTCTTGGCTATTGTATTTAGGATTCAAGTGTGTGCTATTAAATGATTTACTGGTAATCAAGTTAGAATTAAGGGTACCTAAAATTAAACCTTTCAAGGAGCCCTGCTGACATGTGGTACTTCTTTAAATTATCTCACTAAGTACATTCACCTGATCCTAGACTTTATCAAATAGAGGGTTTCATTATGTTCTGGCTTCACCAATGTATGTTAGTCAGGTCCTTACTGAGCAGTCAGAGAAAAGGTCAGTCCTCACAAACAGCTTCTTGTTCTGATCGGTCCAACTTGGTGATTGAAAGCAACCATCTCAGTGATCACTATAACTTTAAGAAGCACATATTTAATCTCAGTGTCCTCAGAAGAAGAGAAATTTCCTCCATCACCTTCTTTGGATCAGCTTGCCATAAGGATCTCAGATAGGGACCCTGATCACATGAAGAAACGGTGGTCCTTTGGGACACAGTTTACACAGATTTTCATATAGTATCCTCTCCACTAACCTTCAAGATCCAAACATTTAGAAAATGTTACTCCAGTGGCCTGTTGGTGTTTAGTATTCTATTAAAAGAGAGAGGGCGTCTAAATCCTCGGTACTTAATCTATCAAAACAAATACAAATAAATATATTGGTTTGAAATTATGAGCATTGTTTTATTTTTTCCCCCATCAATACTTTGAAAACTCCTAATGTAAGTTCTCCATTCAGATTGGTCAGACATTCAGAAATGTTTCCTTCCGAGAGCAGTGTTGGTGCCTTGTGTTTTTGTGTGTAACTGTATATGGTTTGTCCTATTTCAGCCATATTTACAGAAGACAAAAACACCACAGAGCCTGCTTATAAGGTTAAAAATGTCCCACCCATTCCCAACACTCCAGAGCCAACAGCAACGCAAGAACCCCTGGTGGGCAGCCAAAAGAGGAAAGCAAGGAAAACCAAGATCACACACCTGGTCAGGACAGCAGATGGCCGGGTGTCACCAGCAGGAGGTACTTTGGGTAAGAAAAGGGAGCATTAGGCAGAGGAAACCAGACCGAGCAGCGGAAGCTCACGGCCACTTTGGCCAGCAAACGACCCTACGCCAGCTGTGGGTCCTTGCTGAAAAACAGGTCTGTTCTGTGGGCTTTGTCACAGTGACACTTTCTCTTTCTGGATCTCCTTGAAAACTAGTTTTCTGCAGACTTCCAAATGTCCATGTTTTAGTCCATGTCATAAAATTATAGCTGTTTTCCAAGAGCATATCTTGAATGCCTAGAAAGGAAAGGTAATTTTTAGGGCTGTCAGCTTCTTCTCTTTCTCAGCATGCACAGAAACATTCTTGGTTAAGTAAACTCCCAAAGATCCGAGGCTTTTAAAAATACTGGGTAAATCAGTATTTCTCCATGGTTCACTGCTCACGTCAGCACACGCCAGATTATCGGGTATTTAAACCAGTGAGTTAAGGCACCTTTGAAAACATCCAGCTCTTCCTGTAAAACTGATTCAGACCACCAAGGGAGCTTGAGAATGCTTCTGGATTTCTTGAGTTCTCTGAACTAATCTTTAACCAACTCTTAACTTAGAGTAAATTTCTCCATTTTCACTTGTGGTCTGGGTGTTTTTGTTGTTCCTGGTGGTCTCCTTGGCAGTAGAATTACCTGACGGGCCCAAGTTAAGGAGTGGAGTCTGAGTGTCCTCCCTCAGCTCTCGAGGGTGCTGCACCAGCAAGGCATTAGTGGTCTGAGCTGTTGCCTTTCTGCCTGTTAGCAACTCGAGCATCTCATTCTGTCAGCCCTGAAAGAAGTGTCCCTCTTCCTCATCCTAACCCAATTTCCAGAAAAAGGTCAAAGGTCCATAATTCTATAAGTAGGGAAAAAATGTTTAAATGAGTGCTTTTGAGAATGAGATTTATAAATATCTCACTTTGGTTAATATAGTTGTTTATAGAGATTCATTGTTTGCTGAGATAGAGAACTGTTAGCAAATTTTGTCCACTTTTTTTGCATATGTACATTGTTAGAACCATAAAGCATATTAAAGATCCCCAGTTTTACCCTGTCATGTAAGAGATGAAGCTCAAAGAGGTAGAATTTTGTTTTTGAACACTTTGAACTACCAAGCAGAAGTAGGATGAGGACTAGAATCTAATTTTCCTAATATTTAGTCCAGCAGCCCCCTCCTGCCTTTCCTGTGCGTGTGTGCATGTGTGTATGTGTGTGTGCAAACGGTTACAGCCTCATTTTTACTTGTAGAGAGAGAGAAAGGTTTTAGAGAACTCTCTTTCACGTAGTAAAGCGCATAGCTCTTTCATGTTCATTTAATACATAGCATTTCTGCCTTTATTAATTACTTTCTATAGTTGAAATGTTTTTAAAATCATGATAAACCCTGGTTCTCTATCATGGCCACATAATAAAGAAGGTGGACTCATTTCCAACACACATATTGGCCATTTATCTTTCTTTCAGGAGGTCTTGAGAACACAGCGATAACTGGGACCCCACTGTTGGCCGCCCCACGTGTGGGTGCCGCCACACACTGAGTATTCAGGGTAGGGCACGTTTGGCTTCATCAGAAATAGTTGATCAGTTGGGTTTTTAAGGGCCCTTTCCCAGTACCCACAGGCCCCTCTGCTGAAGTCCCTTGGGTTTTATTTTGGCCAAAGCCCATTTTTCCTTCTCCAAGACTGACCTATTCTGACCCTGAACAAAACAGATCTTCTCTTAGGCTTAGCTTCAGGGCACAGTGCTGCCCGGGGTTGCAGTTGAGCTTAATAAAGAGTTTTATGACCATGGAAGAAGAAATTCTATAAGAGCCTTACTGGTTGATGGGTGACAGAAGTGAACAGTAAAGAATATTAACTCATTTCACGTGTCTGGTGCAGAGTTCTCTCTGGAGAAAACAGAGGGATCCTCTCGTGATGGAATTCCATTTCATTACAGATGACAAACCAAAGGAGCAACTGCACCGGCGCCTCCCTAAAGTGACCGAGACAGGCTGCAGTGACGAGTGCATACACGGCACCGAGGCCGCCGAGACCCGGAGCAGCACTCCCGAGATGCCGGCCGTGTCTGCGTTCTTCAGCCTGGCGGCGCTGGCTGAAGTGGCCGCCATGGAAAACGTGCACAGGTCAGTGGCGGAAAGCTTGTTCCGCCAGGATCCTGCAGGTCCAGTTCAGCTTCACCCCTTCCACAAACCATGGAAGGAGAAAGCAACATAGAAGCCAAAACCATCCTTCCTGACGTCATTTGTGACATTTTTCACAACACACGTGGTTCATAAGACTTGGCTCCAGTGTACTTCTGTTGATGTGAGGTTACAAAAGTATATGTGCTAATTAGCAGTGTAGGAAAATATAAAAGAATATAGCCAGACAGGTGTTTTATTTTGAATATATTATTCCGTGGCTAAACTTTCAGTTCTGCAAAGAGCCTGAAAGAGCAGAGAAGCAGCATTATCTAATCATTGAGCATGAGATTTGGAGTCAGGCTTCAGACCTGGGTTTGTGTCCACGCTGTGTCACCTGCAAACTCAAAGTTTCGAGCAAGACCATTCACCTCTGTACCCTCTGTTTTTTCTTCTATGAAGTGTTTATAACTGGTACTCACTCCGTAGTCATGTTATGTGAAATAGATCTCTTGACCCAGTGCTCACAGAGGGTAAATACCCCTTGGAGGGTGGTGTCGGTGGCAGTGGTGGTGCCAGCAGTAGAAAACAGTGCTGGTTCAGGAAAAAGCGTATGCTGGCATCAGACTCCTGGCAAGGCAGGAGGTCTGGATTTATCCTCCACTCTCTGTGTTTGCTACAAAGTAATTTATTTCTCTGGGCCTCAGTTTTCTCATCTTACACTGAGCACAGTGATGCCCCCAAAGAATCACACAGCAGTAACACCAGCCAAGATGGCGGGTATGAAAGGCTCGCGAACTCAGTAAAGCCCCACAGAAAGCATACTAAGTCTAAGTGCATAATTGCGTGCTCTGCGACTTAGTGGATCTTTTGAGAAGGCCAATAAGCCTTTTGTAAATTCAGGTATTTCATGTTTTTATCCAGAGTGGATTATCCACAGATGAGCTACTTTCTTAGCCTTTCAATTCTCAGTACAAAAGAGTTTGGAATCAAGGGCAACTTGTATACCCACCTGGCAGGCTCCATTCTCCTTATTCGCATCCAGGTTTAGGAGGCCCTGACATAAGCTTTGTTTGCTTCTTGCTCTTTACCCATCACATTACAGTTCCAGTCCTGCCTCACAAGTAGCCTCTAGATATTTCCAATAACTCAGATTCCTTTTCATGTGTGCACTGCAAGTGCCTAACAGCAAGTGAATGCTGACAGACATTGTTAAAATCTGCCCAGGTCTCTGAGGGAGATAAACACACGGGCACTTCTCCATCAATAGAGTTTCACGATTGAGTATGAAGGACAAACTCACATGTAAACAAAAGGCATTAAATATATGCCTGAGTGTTAGTAAGTGCCCCCATAATTTGTGGAATAAGAGGCGGGGGTGGGGGGGGGGGTGCCTGGCTGATGTGACAGGGTTTTGAGGGCTATACTGCGAACCAAAGGGCCACCGGTTCAATTCCCAGTCAGGACACTTGCCTGGGTTATGGGCCAGGCTCCCGGTTGGGAGTGCATGAGAGGCAACCATACACTGATGCTTCTCTCCCTCTCTTTTTACCTCCCTAAAAAATAAATAAATAAAATCTTTTTTAAAAAGATAAAAGGAATTCAGAGAGGTGGATGATAATTCTTGGCCCAGACCAGGTTACTGTGCAGTCCCCCTTTGCTGTTGGCAGTGCTCCCTTCTGAACCTGACTGTGGTCCCACCATAGCTGTTAACCAGCCTTCCGTGACTCCTGGTTTCTGAGAGCAGAGCACCTCCACAAGCCATTCCACTCTTATTACCACCCCCACCCCTCTTCCCTGTCCTGCAGTCGGGTGGAATTGCTTCTCCTGTCCAAACGAGCCGAGTGCTTTCTTGCCTTTCTTCCTCCTCCTCTCAGGCAAACTGCTGCTTCTCCTTCTAGCTCTAGTTCTTCACCCTCCTCTCTCCTCCTGAAGCCTCTGTGCTCTCCACACATACCTCTCGTAGACCACGTTGGTCTGGAACTGTCTGTGCGTGCTTCTGTCTCCTTGCAGTGTATTTTGAAAACAAAGCACTGGTTTTATTCTCTGTGTCCCCAGCTCCCTTAATTTCTGTCATGTCAATAGATGAATGAGTAGATGAACGGGCGAATTAATAAATGAGGTATTCTTGAAGTATGACTGCCTAAAGTTAGCTAGCAGGCATAGAAAAAGTGATGTGAGTAAACATGTTCGTTTTTTTAACCTCCTATTAGAATAATATTGCTTACTAGAACTTTACTGTCAACTTAACAAATGGTTAGTGTTCTTAAGATCTAGAAAGATTCCCCTCAGGGAATCTTAGCTGTAACTTTAGCCCTGACTTGTGAAAGCAGAGCTACCAGGCTGCCCTCTACCTATAGCCTTAATATAATTGTACCTTGCTGCCCATCAATTAATTATTGCTTAGCCATCACCTAGGCTCCTAATTTAGAGGGTGGTCAACAGAGTTAGGGGTAGAAATACAGGTTCCAGCACAAATAACACCCTTTTTGTTAATATTTTTATTACAAATAGTTGTAATGTAATATTATGAAAATATTTGTTAAAATATTTTATTACAATATCATAAAAATGTAAATCTGTAATATAACAATATCACACTCAAGCATACCAGATGACATTTTAGGTGAAATGTTCAAATTAAAACTATGAATTACTGCTCCACCAACCACACTGACACGGGCCTTCCTTCTGCCAGACCCTATACGTGCCCTGCATGCTCGCCGCAAGGAACTGGCTCTCTCCCATCATGCTCCTTTCTTCTTTTCCCTTTGATTAAACTTGGCTTTCATCCCACTTTTTCCTCCTCTTGCTCTCTCTTTTGTTTTACATTGTCCTTTTCATTTTTACTTATTTTGCTCTTTTTGTTTCTTATTCTAATACTTATTAAAATTATTTTGATTTTGTAAGTATTACATGTTCAATCTTAATGGTAAAAAATATTTAGTTTCATCTTCCTTGAAGAGGGTTGAACATATTAAACTGTTGATGCTTACAGCATCCCCAAATAAATGAACAGATTAATCTGGAAGTTTGATTATAATACCCATTTTGTTATTCTGAAATCCTAATATCTCGGCCTAAGCGATCATTGGATTCTGACCTCCCCAAATGTTGTTAATTATCCACATTTTGATTTTCTGTGCCTCAAGAGAAAGGAATTGGATATAGGTATGGAGCACATATAATTTGAATTCTAAATAACACCTTTTGTTCTGCGTAATCTGAAGAAGATCCTATATCGAAACCTTCAAACCGATGAAAACATTGCTGCTACATCACGCAATTTCGGTGCGGTGCAGTGCTGTGCACTACAGACCATTGCAGGCCAGAGCTGGGGGGTGCACCGTGTGGGCGTGGCAGGCCTGCTGGGAAATGTCAGGGAGATGCCCCACCCTGTCCTTTTAGAATGAGAAGCCTTGTAGAAATTACCAAGAATTTTGAACAGTTTTTTAATACCTATGAAATAAATTGTATTTTGTCCTACTCATTAAACAAAATCTAAAAGAAAAATCAGCTATGTTCATTGTAGTTCCAATCAAAAAGTTCCTGAATTTTTTAGTCTTGCCTAGAATTCTTTCTCCATGTGTGTTGGTTTTGGTCCAAATTAATTGAATTTTTTCACATGCTACAATTCAGTTGGTGCTTGCCCTTTTCTCCCTGTACATTGTGTCCGTATTCCTGTAAAACTTTTCTTAAGTTAGGAGGGTTTCATTGTTTTCATTTGTTTTTTGAATTATAGTATACCTCTTTCTCTTCAGTGATCATTGCTTTTATTGGCCTTAAGTTTTAAACAGGAAGATTATTGTCCCAGAACCTCAGCAGTTGCCTTCAAGTTTCCCACTTCTTAGGGAATTTCCCAAATCTGTTGTTGCTTCAGATTCTACAAATGGAGGTGGTCATTTGGGGCCAGAGTATGTTGTTGAGTTGTATGAGGGGAATTGAGGTAAGAAGTCCTTTAAAATATATGGAAAGAAAGAAGCTCTAAGGACAAAATTGGTTGTAATTAAACAGCATACATATAAAATCAGCAGTAGCTATTAAATAAATTATTGGGAACCTATTTGTTATTTGTCATCCTGTCCTATTTCTGATAACATACTTTGAATAAGTGTTTTTTTTTTTCTTTCTCTTGCTCCACAGAGGTCAGAGGTCAACTCCACTCACCCACGACGGACAGCCAAAAGAAATGCCACAGGCTCCTGTACTTATTTCCTGCGCTGACCAGTGAAGCGCCCTTTAATTGTAAAACATTGTGCTTTACCTACTACCCTAGCCTTGTCTTTACCGAGGGATGCTCGTGAGCCCATGTGGTGGGAAATATAGACTGCAAACAAGTGCTTGTTGACCTACGTGGCCCAGATTGACTTGAAGCAGAAGTTAGCTTCCTGGGCCCATTTGTTCTTTGGGGGTGATGTCATCTGTCTGATAGTGAGCAGAATTGGAATGATCCTGGAGCTTTGCTTTCTATTGAAGGCTGTTGATGGTCATAGGTAGTAACTTGGTAAAAGGCTGCCTTTACTGTAGCTCATCCAGCATCTCTTTTACCAACCAGAGAGTGTGAAACTAGTTTCGTATATTACCTAGTTATTCTTTCAAAACAAAAACAAAAAAAAAACAAAACAAAAAAAAACTGACGCACTGCACTAGTTATTATTAGATATTCTTAGTCTTTTTTGTACATGGAGATTTAAGTTCTAAGATGGTTTATATAATAGGTTATACCTACATTTATATTGTAGAATAATATTAAAAAGCCTGTTCCAAGACTCCCACGCAGCATGGGCAGGCAAATGTACCATTGTTAGCGGTGTATGCTCGGCCTTGTGGTCCATATATTCTGCACTTTTATATTTGCCACCAGAGTGGTAGTTTGCTGGCAAAAAAAAAAAGAAAAAAGAAAAAAATTACAATTCTTACAAGCTGAATTTTTTTCTTAGCCTTGAGTGACCAAGAAGAATTTGCTTGGGGCAAATTGTGGCAAATATTTTCCCAGACAGGGGAACAGTCCTGCAGATAACAGATGACTGATGTTTTCATGCCTTGAGGATTCTTTTATTTTTTCACAGGGGTCTACGTGACCAATGGATCGTTCATACAAACAAAAAAAGAGAGAAAAATATTATTCAAAAGTGACCTTAGTATTACTTCACTATCCTGAACACATTGAAGACACTCACTCATGTGGACTTGGAGCCACAGACAGACCTTTTCCATCCATCCCAGACAGACTGGACGGGTAGCAATCGCTATGCACAGCCTAACTGGCACTGCATGTGTTTAGAGCCATTTCAAGTTCGTGTCGTTACGGAGGTGTTGAGTAAATGACAAGGGAAGTATGCCTGACCGGAGCGGGACCCTCAGTCATAGATCCACCTGCAAGTTTCTGTTTCCTTGTTGTGTTTTGTTGCTTTTGAACATAAAAGCCACTCTACATATGCCAGTGCCAACTGGATTAACTGGCTTAGAACATTCAACATATTGACTCAACCACCTGACGTTCACAGTGTCTTGTTTCCTAGCAACAGATGCAAGTGATAAATCAAAATTAGTCAAAGGCTACAGATTTTACAGGGTATTTGTTCCATAGCACAAAGTACTTCCCCACTCTTGCATCGCAGCACAAACTACCAAATTTCAATTATTGGATTCCAGCAATAATTTTTATGATTTTCAAACTGGCGGAATTTTGATAGTGTTAGTTCAAGTTTGAAGCTTTTGAATTAGATCTCTAACTGGTGACAGTTTACAAGGTTTTATCTAGCTTTCTAATTTATACTTGACTGAATTGTAATGATGTTTTTTTTCTAATCGTAATTTGACCTAATAGCCATATAAAAAAATGACTCTATTAGTCCTGACTAGGTTTAGCTTTTCCTGGTTGTAGATATTACTTCAGTTCCGGTGCTGGAAAAATATGTACAACATACTAACAGAATTGAAGACGAATATATAGAGACATTTTTCCCAAAGCAGGTAAAGAGGGCAGCAGAGCGTTGGCATGGTGTTCTCAAAGATGCACACTCGTGCGAATGGAGGAAGAAGGATTAGCAAGCAGGGTTAATCAGAGGTTAAAGCTTAACCCCATTTACCTAGAAATAAATCAGGTGAGCAGCCCCAGATTTCAGCATAATGTTTTTACTATGATGCTGTTTTATTAATATTTTCTAAATCTCAAAACACAAATTGAATGTTTGGAAATTGCTGGGTCCCAGTGTTGGTGGCTGTTGGGAGTTTTTGGACCACTTGCTAACAGTGATTTTTAAATTATTATTAGCTAAAATCCAAAAAAAAAAAACCAACAAAAATTGTATGGTGCAGAACATGCACCTTGACAATGGTACTAACTTGTTATTCTATAGAACACATTAGAATAGATCTATTTTTGCCAGAGCACCCTCCTTCAGTCCTCCGATTACATTTCACTAGAGTTCCTCAAGAGATTGCTGTATATTCATGGGACCTTTTTTAAAAAAGAAGCAAAACAAAAGATTGCTTTTTTCTATGTGATTAATATCTTACTTGATCTGCTTTTCCTAAACCTCAGTGGCTTTTCCCTCAAGCAGGGGTGGGAGTGGGAGGGCAACCTACTGGATATGACTGTTTTCAGATACTTAAAAAAAACTTTTTGTAGAAATGCTTAATTTTTAAGCTGTTAGGCACTGAGAGTAGCAGAAATCCTGCAAAGCTTTATAGTTCTTTAGATACTCACCTTGTCGTTTCTCTGAGTGGTGGAAGTCTTGATTTCAGTGAGAGTGCTTTTCTCATGCCCTGCATCTGCTGGAAAGGGGTGTTGGTATTTTCAGGTAACAACATGTGTTAGCACAAATGTTTCAGACCAGTGTGTAGTTCTCCCCCTCCACAGCACCCCCCCCCATCATTTTCATTTCATTTCTCTCATTCTTCTCTATTTTGGAAAAACTGTATTACTATGACGTGTACCTTAATCTGCCACCACCACCATCCACACTAACGTTTGTCCCACAAGCATCCTCAAGAGAAAAAGTTGCACCTTATGTATATCTCAAGCAAACCAAAATATGATGCTCTTCTGCTTTGTTTTATTCTAAATTGTTGTATCATATCTTTCTGAAACCATTCTGAATTTAGTTGAAATTATCAATATTTATACTTTTAACCTTAATTTCTGGATTCAAACCTGTATATAAATCTTTTGGGAAAAAAAACTGTCCTAGCCCTTCTCTGTGATGCTGGAAGTGGATAATTTAGTGTCTGATGGAGACACAGTGCTATTCCAGTTTCCTGTAGCCTGTTATTTATTTAGTTATTCTGGGTATTTCCTATGTAATTTTGAAGTGTGTAGAGTATATTATAGTAACTGAAGCTGCAGCTCTGAGAAGCTGAGTGAAAGAAAAAATACTGTAAGACATCCTTTTTAAAATTTTGCTTTGTTTGGATACTGTAAAGAATCAGGAAAAGGAAAATGTCTCACCGCCACATTGAAGATACAGGTTCTTATCCCCAAATTAGGTTTGTTCCCAGATTTTCCGATCAAAAAATGTTAGTTCATTAAAACCCCCTTTAAAGGATAACTCACATTGTTGTAATTCTGACAGTCTTATGTCAGAAAGATATTTATTTAATTTGGTCAGAACGCACTTATTACTAATGCCACCTTGGAGCCGAAATGCTGACATCAGCCCCATGTTATCACTGATACTCTAGTTCCTGCCATTAAAACTGCTGGAGGGAAAAAAAGTGAACACTATGAACCAGGAGCATCTGCACTGGTCTGGCTACTTAGAATCCAAGATGTCTAATCCTGTCATTTTCTTTTTAAGTCAGATGCTACTCTGCCTAAGTTGTAAAATTTGTTTGCACTCTGCAGTCGTTGGCTCACCATATGACAGTGTTTGTACCTATGTAAAAGCTCAAGCAAATTAGAAATTGTTACAGAACCAGGAGGAAGCTGAAAACTGAATGACATGTTTTGTTTATACAGTATGTGTGGGGGAGGGGAGGGATGGGAACTATCAAATAGCTCTGTTCCACGTCTGGCATTTGGCATTAATGTGAAGCAGTGGGACCATGCTGCCTGCTAAACTACTGTATGAATCCTAAGTGTTCTGGAGACCAGCAGCTGGAGGCTGGAGGCCAGCGCCCATACACCAGGGAGAAGCGCCACCTCTTCACCGAGAGGATGGAAGGAAGGAAGGAAGGAAGGAAGAAAGACATGAGCAGCCTGGAGTCCTCATTTGTAAAGGGAACGTTGGTGTGTGTGTGTGATGCTGAGGAAGAGATTCGCCTTTGATTGCACTGCTCCACAGAGCCCTCAGATAAGGCCAATTCTAATGGGCTACCTCGGCTTTAAAAGTTAATTTCAGTTAAGTCCTGTTTCAAAGGCTTGTCTTGTTTTGCTTCTGCCTTCAGTGCCACTATTTTCCACTGCAGTGTTTTGACTTCACAAACCGCCTTCTCCAGAGAGAACAATGTATCGCTGAAAATGGGCAATAGAAGCAAATGCTGTTATTACGTTTGACCTATAAAGTATTCAGAGTGACTGCTAAGTGAAATTAAATTTTAGCTTTCCCCACATAGGACCTTGTTTTGCACCTTATGAAGAGTGTACTAATTGTTAAATAGATGTTGCATTTATTTATACAAGCATTCCCAAAGAATTAGATCTGGATTTTTGTTTTTGAGTTTTGGGATTCTTAAAAATTATCTTACTTAGATTCACTAGCATTATACTTTATGAAGAGAAACAGTTTGTTCAGTTCATCTTACTAGTTACGTCTGGTAAAGTATTCAGGGTTTGATGGACTGCGTTGCTTTAGTTTGGAAGTGACAGCTGAGTTTATTACACTCCATAATAAATGACCTTGTTCTTTTCACTAGGGACATTATCTTCCTTGCATTTCAGAACAAAGAAGCAACAAGAGAGTAAATAAGACAGATATACCCAATTCTGTCATACACCTCCATCTGTGTGTGCTAAGCTTTTCTTCAACAGAACATAAATACACATTTTCTTTAAAAAAAAAGTAAGTTTCCTCTCCTGGCCAAATTTTATTTGCGGTGGTATGAGTTACAGTAGGAAATTAAAAGAGGAAACCTTGTACTTAAAAGTTCCATGGCCACTGTTTTCTCGATGCAGTCAGTGGTCAGAATTGATCCTGCCCACAGATTCATTTTTGTGCACAGAATTCATTGTTGCGGACATAACTACTACTTCCAAAGATTTTCTTATAACTTAGGCCAGAGCTGGTTGCTGAGTAACAAGAACCTAATTCAAGGCCTCCCAACCTCCTACCCACACCGCTAATCTTACCTCACAAGCTCTCAATCACAGGCACACATGCTTCACAAACTAACAGCTCTCCTGTGGCCCCTGGAGGGGCTTGCTCCTGGCCCCTGACACCTCGTATTAGTGCCTCCAGCTCTGAGAGTGGCAGGACTGGGGGTGGGGAAGGCTCATGACCTGGAGCTCAGCACATGCTCAGCAATGTTTTTCTTATTTCTTTAGCACTAAACAAGTCTCTTGCTCTCAGGAATTTATCCAAAAAAGAATTGAAACCACCTGAGATTCCACATAGCAGATTATGAACTTTCCTCATAGGTTTGAATTGCTTATTTGCCATAAATTAACCACAGCTTCATTTGGCAACCAGGTCTTAAGTCTGTTGACAGTTTCAGCATGACAGAATCGCTCATTTTCTTTTCTTTTCTTCTCTTTTTTTTTTCCTTTGGGCTTTCAGAAATTTGGCTCGATTCTCTTTAGAGTTGGTGTAAACATGCCATGTAATAAATGATTTCTCAATGGTACAACGGAATTATTGCTTTCTTAGATGTATGTGTAGTAAAAGTCAATATACACATTTATATAATTTTTTCTTTAAAATCTTATACTTAATTTGATATTTCTAAAAATTGCACATGTAAGTCATGTGTATAACATGCTAAAGTACTTTAACTGTGATCTTAAAACTGAATAAAAATATTTAATAAAAATTTGAAATATTTTAAAGATACTCAAATATATTTCTTTATGTTCACACTACTGGCTATAGAATATGTACCTTCAATATACCATGCCTACTGAAAACAGACAGTCCCTTCATAAAAGTGGGCTATTTCAGGATGTCAAATGACGATCTCCCCTAAACTGTTGGTCTGAGGTTCACCATGGTCTGAGCAGCTCGGCTGCTCTTCCCTGGCATGTGGAGCGAAGTCAGCTGGACAGAGCAAAGAAGATGGGCTGTCGTCTCCTCCTCAGGACAGCAGTCTTTGAGGTGCCCCATGGGAAAAAGTGTGTGCTGAACCTACTGCCTCTCCCCGAACTAGAACAACTTACACAAAATGATATTAAGACTGAAACCTACTGTAAACTGGGACCTCAGCTTTGCTGAGTATACTTATACTGTTCCTGAACCTTACGCTCTTGGATATGGTATTTTTTCTTTTGTTATCTCCTTTGGAATAATACAGAGTACAAATACCTGTTCGGTATAACTACATCAAACAGGCTTTGCATTCAGACAGACTTAGCTTCAAATTCTGGCTCCACCAACTTACCACAGGGTTTTTTAATCTCTGAACCACACTTCACTCATCTAAGTGATGGTGTTGATCATGCCTCCTCACTCCATTGCTGAGATTAAAAGAATAAGTTCAAAAATGTTGGCTTAGGGCCTGTGATGGAGATGCTCATTAACTGGTAATTGTTGTAGTTTTATTTCAATTCTAAGGCAGATATGTTAAAGTATATTGAAAAGATGCAAAGTATCACTTTCTTTGTATTCAGCTTGTAAGGGGTGATGCATTAGGGGTAAGTGGTTTCAAGAGATATGATCGAGTGGGAAACTAAGCTAAATTCACATAGCTAACTCAATATGAAGCACTACTGAGGTTTCCTCTGAAATCAGCCTGCCTAATGAATTAAACTTTTCTGATACTACAGTGCACTTCCTTTGAAGTACTGAAAGTCACATATCGGGGTCGGGGTTGGGGGGGTGCTCCATACCAAAGAATATTAATGCTCTTAGAATAAGAATGTGGCAGAATATACATATATGTGGTTTTATGGTCCAACATATATTAGACAACTACATCTTTTCAGCTAGGACATGAAATCTCAAAGAAAAAATGGTTCTTAATAAGCTAAAATTAATACTCCATTGCATAGTTACTGACATGACATAATATTGTTCATTATAATTTATCAGAAACCTTCACCTTTTGAAATTATGGAGAAATATTCAAAAGTAAGGTAGTATATTGAACCTCATGTACCTACCCATCACCTAGCTTCAGCAAATAACATTTTCTCAACTTCTGTTTCATTTGTATTTTGCCCATTTTCCTCCATTGCATCCCACAGCCTCAGATAGGTTTATCCCAGAAGTGTGATTTCATGTGTAAATACTTTAGATGTGGTCTTTAAAAACAAATCTTTTGATATGAACAATTTTTACTTTTTAGGTATTACCTTCTCACAATTCCAAAAATGTTTATTTTCTGTCTAAAGCAAAAAGAATCCATGAGCCACAGGAACAGTAGTTCTGGAGTGGACATCATTTGGAGTTAGAAAACAGTTTATTTTTTTTAATATTTATTTTTAGAGAGGGAAGGGAAGGAGAAAGGGAGAGAAACATCAGTGTGTGGTTGCCTCTCACACATCCCATACTGAGGGCCCAACCTGTCTCACAACCCTGGCATGTGTCCTGACTGGGAGTCGAACCGGTGACCCTATGATCACAGGTTAGTGCCCTCTAAGCCACACCAGCCAGGGCTAGGAAACACTTTAAACTGGTTATTTCTATACTTCCCTTTTTAAGCCACAGTTTTCCAAAGGTTTAACTTAATCAAAGCCCTTCCTTAGCATGTTCTTTTATAATCTCTTTGTGAGACTCAGTATCTACAAGGGCCAAGTGCTAAAACTTTTATGATTTCATATAAAACTTTCACAAATTTTTGTGTGTCCTTTACACTTTTCCCTCCAACCCTGTTCCCACTGTTTTCTTCCCCAGACTTGCAAAAGTAAAATATAGGGGAGAGGTAGAGACCAAATTGTAGGGGACCTCTAGAAGACTGGTGCCAAAGATTTTGAAATCTGGAATTCTGGGTTAATGGGCCAGAAATTAAAGCATAAAATGAAATCCCTTGCTGGAAGAGATAAAATAATCTTATTTTAAAGCCCACCCCTACTGGAGAGTTCTTATCCTCAGGAATTTTACAAAAGGTCATTTTGCCTCAGGGTCTTGTATTGCAGAATCAGAACAAAGAAATGTGAGGATTCAAAGTGTGTTGAGTGATAGAGGACAAAAGGAAAAGGAAAAGTTCATATAAATGGTCCTTTTAAGGTTTAATGTCAAAAGTCAAAATGGTTTTAAAGCCAGCATGAAAATATTTCCAAGAAATATATTCAAGTAGAATGATTATTTTTTCCTAACCTTTTCTATTGGACACTGTATCTGTGGTGCTTCTGAAAAGCAAATTAGATAAAATTCTTATTTTCCAGAAATAAACATGTAAAGAAGGGAAAGGGTCATCAAGGAACATGTATAAAGGACCCATGGACAAAGCCAAACGGGGGTAGGACTGAGGGTGGGAGGTGGGGTGGGGGAAAATGGTGGTGGGAAAATGGAGACAACTGTATTTGAACATTTAAAAAATGGCAAGCAAAAGAAGTAAGCATTGAAAAAGTATACAAACAATAGAAGTATAATACGAGATAAGTACAAAAATAGGCACTGAGTTGTCATCTAATTTGAAACATTTACTGGGATATATTTAATAGGAAGTCAGTACTGATAGTAATTTGTAAAAGTTTTCTCCAAAGTAAACATACAATCCTTCAGATAAGTACTGGAGAAGTTCAGACGTTTCATAAAATAATTTGAAATGTTCACTTCTCCCATAGTAAATATTGACTTGGGGATTTATATCAGTATATTAAAATTGTAAGAACAATATTCTGCACGAGTCCTTGAAAATCTAACCCTGTTTTGTGAATAGAAGTATTTAACACACTGATGCTAGCTAGCCTCACCTGCATTAAACCAGTACTGTATGTCAATCAAAATCAAAACTATTGTTAGAATAGAATTGCTTAAAAACAGTGTGCCTTATTCCACTTCTCTATTTCAAAGCACGTGAAAGTATTTCACCTCCCTTGCCGTGGCTCCAGAGAAGTTCTGCTACCCCATGTCTATTAAACTGCCTGTGTCTGGCTCCTCTAAGCACCCACTCGTTCAGCAAGTCTGCTTTGAGTGCCTACAATTGGGTACTGAGAAAGCAGCCACTGGACAACCTTACAGGGGTGAGAGGTTGATTCTGCACTGAGATGCAATACAGATGAGGTTGGGCAAGGAAATCAAAGGCTCTCAGGAGTTAAATACAAACTCATGTGAAATTTGATCATTGGCATTTAGAATACTGTAAGAAGAAATGAGTATGTGTTCCCATTGTACTTTTAAAGAGTTTTATTTAAAAATTCTTTTTCATACAAGAGATCTTGGCACAAGAAAAAAAAAAAAGCGGTGCTGCTAAGACAAGGCCACAGATGCCTGAGACTGACAAAACGAGATGCCGTGGTGAACCCGTGTGCATTTCCTCTATGCAGCCCTCGGCTGGTTGATTCCAGGGCTGGTATCACACAGGCAGCACAATGTGGGAATGGCCTAGGAATACCTGAAATCCTAAGGTCTAGCAGTGTGGTTTGAGCGCTCGGCACTGGGTGATTGTGGTAACCAGATTGGTGATTCCCTGACTTTATTTTCCTCAATTTACTGCACCTTTCTTTCCTCACCTTAGTCCTGATTCATGCATATTGCTGAAATTTAATTTTTTCAATCTTGGTATTTTTCTTCAACGATGGTACACCCCCTTCTGAATCCCTAAAAAAGCTTTCTCTTTGTGCTTTATTTTTTCCCCACTGAGAATAAGGTTCTCTATGGCAGGGCAAATGATTCAGCAAATCCTTTGCTCCAGGAGAATTCCCAGAGTAAAAAGCAGCTGCTAGAAAGGATTCTCATTTTTGATGTGTGCTGCTGCCACTTCAATTTGGGTCTAAATTGGGCACCTGAGTCTTCCTTTGCTAATCTTCAGCCTTTAAAAAGGCTTTACCACAGGAAATACCTATTCTTATCTAGGACTCTGAAGGATTACTTCCCCTTTGGGAGTACTGAAGGCTGTTGCATCTACTCTTTTAAATTATATTTTATTGATTATGCTATTAACAGTTGTCTCAGTTTTTCCTTCCTTGCCCCCTCCACCCAGCCCACCCATTTCCCCCCAACCCCATGCCCTCAGGCAATCCTCACACCATTGTCCATGGCCATGGGTCATGCATATATGTTCTCCGGCTGCTCTATTCCCTACCCTGTAGTTTACATCCCCATGACTGTTCTGTAACAACCAATTTGTACTTCTTAATCCCTGCGCCTTTCTCGCCCATCCGCTACTCCCCTCCCATCTGGCAACCATCAGAACATTCTCTGTATCTATGATTCTGCTTCTAGTTCTACTTGTTTGTTTATATATTTTTAAAAATTCAATTGTTGATATGTATTTGTTGCCATTTATTGTTCATATTTTTGATCTTCTTAAAGAAGACCCTTTAACATTTCATTTGGTGGTGATATATTCCTTTAGCTTTTTCTGGCCAGGGTCTGCTTTTTAAACATTCACCTCAGTATGGCCAAATCAAAACTCACTTTTCACCTTTGGCTTTTGGCTCGGAGGAGGAAAAGGTGTACCTTTCCTCAGTTGTCCCAAATCCAGGTTCATCCCACACAAGCCGCCTCCAATGTGCCACTCAAGTTCAACCCCAATGAGATCAAAATCGTACACCTGAGGTGCATGGGCAGAGAAGTTGGTGCCAAGTCTGCCGTGGCCCCCAAGATTGCCCCCCTGGCTCTGTCTCCCAGAGAAGTTTGTGATGACATCACCAAAGCAACCAGTGAGGAAAGGCCTGAGAAACACAGAGAAACTGACCAGAACCAACAG